TACTGGTAGAGCAGCTTTGAACGGTAATCCAATCTGACCTGACCCATGTGGGAGAGCAGAAATGGTCGGAATGGACTCCCCACAGTCCTAACGCATATTTCCGTGACCCCAATATCTGTCCTGACATGTTAACACCGGTTTTTAACTGCATCCATCGGAACGGCCGTTTTTTACCTTTCGTAACCTCTGGTGACCTCATATCTGACCGAAGTTCAAGCATTTTTTTAGCATTCTTGACGCGGTTGTCTGAGAATCCCGGCGGGGACGGGCTAATGTTGCTTTATATATGACAGATCCAAACATCTGGAGTATATAGTGTCTAATCACGTGCGGGGCTCATAAGATTTGCCTGGACCTATTACTGACTCACATTATTGGCTCATACGAACTGAATATTGACATTATTTACATCATTGCCTCATTGTAGCCTGATTTGACCTTAATTAGGGTAATGACCGTACCAAAGTAATTGTGCATTGCCAAGACTTTAAATGACGCTATGATTTATGGCAGTAAGTCACTGCGCAATGAGTATGTATTGATTTTTTCAATGGTATCAAGTCATCTTGGTCATTTAGTCATTAATTATGTTTTGACAAAACATGTTTCGGTCATTTTCACTCATTAACATACCAGGTGTTTGTCATTTACTAGCAGTGGTTATACATTATCAGCACAAGTCATGTTGGGAAAGGTCAGACAATAAGAAAGAAGGAAGTTCGCGCAACGCAAACATTCATGCTTGCATGGGGTAGTGGAAACCACTTCATCCTGTGTCAATTGCCGACCACATTCCCCTACATTGAGCAGGTACGTACTCAACAGCATTTGTTGCGCCTGCAAGTAATTGCATTCTTTACTGCGTAAAAAGACAAGGCTGGAGGAAATGCTCGAAATGCATAGCGGCCAGCGATTGCATGAAAACAATTGTTTTTCATAATGTGTAGGGTGATTGGGCTCAAACGAAGTGTTCCACATTTCTATGAGGTTTTGAACTGAAAAAGTTATCTTGAAGATCATTCTGCGCAGCTCACAGCCCTGCCCATTTTTAGACATAAATCGCCCTAGTTTCGGAGCTACACGCCGGCAAAGATGTGTAGACTATTTCGTGTAAACTTTTAAACGTTACCCAGGCATCCACCATGCCAGGTCACGCAGCGTTCAAGGTCAAAATATGTAATTGTTGCGTAAGTTGTTAAGTGCATTTGCCAGGAACGTTATGCACATAGATGAGACAGTAACGAAAGCCTTCTTGTCCGTAGAACAAACATGAGAATGGAGAGATGGATGTAATTTTTCTGCTACATGGCTATCGAAACGGAGATCAGTAGCCAGTTATACTGATCGATAACATTTTACCGCTGTATTCGTTTCGATCAAGACATGCAGCCGAAATGTCACATCCGTCTCTCCATTCTGATGTTTATCCTACGAGGAGTAAGGCTGTCTGGCCGGTGATAACGGTTCTTGTCCCACCTGTACTAAAATGTAATTGCTGAGCAGTTCATGTCTGGCCTTTGTAAACAAGATATTCAGGCACACCGGCCGCCACCTGGCTCTCAGTCAATGTTTTGCAGGGTATGGAGATTCTGACACGATTCTGTTTTCCTTATTCTTGATATCTATATCCTTTGCATCGTTCCGCATGAAAGGAAGCGATCCACATTTGTGTGGGATATTGAAGTGAAATACTGATCTTGAAGATCATTTGGTGTGGTTCAAACCCTTTTCTTCTTTAGGCAAGAACCGCTAGTTTCTGAGCTTCACGCCCGCGAAGATGTAGATACTATTTCGGAGAGAGTATTTCTAGTTAACCTTGGCATTCATGACATCATAATAACGTCATTCAAATTTTGACATTTCGTAAGCCATGTGGCGATCAAGATCCATAAAAATACAATCGTTGAGTATGTCATATTCGGTGTTCGTGAGCACGATTTCCAGATATAACGGCCGTCATTTGGCTCCCAGTCAATGTTGTGCAAGTTTCGATGACATAATCATACACTGACGTATTCAGGAACATTTTTACTAAACAAACAGATTGTGTTGTGCAAGTGTTGCGCAAGTTGCGATGACAATCAAACCATGACATAATGACGAGCATATTTACTAAACAAGAACATTGTGTTGTCTACAGTAGTTTTTCCACCTAAAAGTATACCAACATGAGTATAAGTGAGGCTGTGTCATCATACCTGATGCTTGGCTTAATATTTTGAATTGTAAAGCATTCCTTTTAGTAAAGTCGCAGTTAACCAATGATGTGCTTGCTGGTCATAGGGTAATGTATTTATTATGCCGTCATAAACGCTCTCATGATTGATTCACTGCTGTCTGTTCACCACGTTTGTAAGGTGTCTGATATGGAACTCGATTGCGTTATGCTGTAGACCCAGCTGTCATTTGTTTGATGGTTGTGTAAATACTCCTATTAAGCTTTCTACATGGACAAATGCAATGGACCAACTCAGGCCATACCCCACACCCCACCCACTCCTTTCCACATGGTCCACGTTGGAGAAATGACACAGTTCATAAAGTTAAAGAACATCTAAGCACGTTTTCCTAAGAAAGGTTTTGCGTACAACATTCTCCGAGGTAAAAGGGAGCAAAATCAAGTTACTTTGTTGAAATGAGACGAAGTGAATTGGAGGTACGACTATTGGGATCTTTGCCCCATGCCAGGGCTGTCCCCGAGATGGCATTTTGGATTCGCCCTTCGCTACTTATTTCATGGCATCACAATCGTTGGGATCGTTAAGCGTTGTTACCTGCCATCTGGACCCGCCACCAGTAATGCAATGTCATCTCATTAATGGGTATTACGCCCCCAGTCCTTGGGTCAGCACGAGGAGCTGCATTGTGCCAGACAATGCTACGACAGGGCCACGCTGGGTTAGGTTCCACATGTCATGCCCATACCTAGCTGACCACATATTTGTAACGGTCAGGTCAATCATGTCAGGTTTATCTGAAATTCGAACCGGTTTTAGTAAGATTGCGGTGGATTGTGTGGTTTGGCTGCGTAAAGTGAACATCCAGCATGCACTTGAGGGCCTACGGCTGAGTGGTTTACAGATACCCCTCTTCTTAGGGTGACAAACCCTCCAATGTCGATTGCGAGGAACAAAGACGGAATATAAAGTTGCTATAGATAAAACCACAGGTCGATGGTCTATCAGCCAAGTTTTTGTCGTTTATTTCAATGTAAGGCTGGTACCCAGACACCGAAGATGCCGTTGAGGTAAGCTGATAACAGCGTTTTAAAACCTCTTGTATCTAAGCTGACTGGCATTTTGCGGTCACTTGCATTTAATAAAACCAGCTTTAGTTGTGACCAGAACATGTCAACACGTCTGTTTACCATACCTTTACTGCTGCGTCATCAGCATGTCTGGTGCACTTGACCCGGCAGGAATGGAGGGAAACATCCGGTTTTGGAAGATAGCCATTCTTTTCCATAGGCCGCCGACACTGGCCGATTGGACGATTTACACCTCTTGTTCGGGGACCATCACCTGACTCTGGTGAATCAGGTCCACAGAACCACCGGCTGTCTGGGATCATCAGCTGACTCTAGTGAATCAGGTCCACAGAACCACCGGTTGTCTGGGATCATCAGCTGACGCTGGTCCATCAGGTCCACGAGATCATGCACTACTGTTGCCCTCTAACGGCCGAACCGTAGCGGTGCAAGGCTATGGTGCGTGGACCCCTTCCACGTCGTGGCGCGTCGACCCCGCGGAGGCTCGTCGAGCACAGCGAGCCAGCGGTCTTTGCTGCGCGGTACTGTTGCGGGCCGCAGAAGGAACACCACCCGCATCGGCGTCCAATCGACAGCCACGGCTCGCCGCCGCTCTTCAACTCTGCAGGGCATGGGGCGTTTGACATCTGGCCGACCAGCCGAAGCAGCTAGAAGCGCTGAGCACGACCAGTAGCACCGCATCATAGCACCGCGTATGACTGTGCCATTGCGAGAATGTCGTGTCCCTTGGAAGGCGAGTGCCTGCTCGCGCGCATTTATAGTGTTCTTGAGACCTGCCATGGCGACGGCGGCTGACAGTCAGGTGCTGAACTCGGATATGTGCGGCGACTTGCCCACATTGTATTTTGCACCGATCGGCGAACATTGTGCTGCCACTTCAAGAACGAGCAAATTAAACGCGATGATAGCAATGGACAGACACTTGACAACGTGGTTTCTCATCTCTTGTTGGATTCGCATAAGCCTTCGAACTTGCGATTCGGCTGCAGTGACTGCATAGGCATGCGAGGTACCGCTTGGGAACAGTGCGAACATGGGGCAATCACCACAATGGAACCTTGTTTTGTGCATTTTGACATCCATACAGGGAAACCTTGTTCGCGGATGTACGCATACTTACGGCGTAGGGATCCCAAGACCCATGTTAGAATATGCGCAGCACTATGCGGTGGTCACTACAACCGCAGTTTTTTGCTGGAAAGATCTCCTCCAGTTTGCGAAAAAGACTACCAGTCACGACTTCCTCAAAAATTAATTAGGATTCCTGATTTTCATGGTCGGATGGTAGCTGCCACCTGCCTTCAGAACACATGGCCCCAACTTTTTAGCAAAAACGTGTGGCACGAGTACTCTGCGCATAGCCTTCCTTGTGATATCCACTCTTAATGCTCGGCCATTTCCCAGCTCGTGGGACGCCCACGGCTCCAGGGATATCTTTAAGCGATTGGATCTGCTGTTAAGTTTGTGCCAGTGGGTAGTCCGCAAAGCACCCGTAGTGTAGTAGGTAGTATATTTGAAGCGTTTGCACCACGCCCGTGGTGATTTTCGATCGTCATCCTTTAATCACTCAGCATTTGAAAACATGCACCTCCCACCCCGTTTAAAAGCTGGGGTACAAGCGCCCTCTTGCCCCCACCCCCTCTTTCCCTGGTCCCACGTCATGGGAACTGACTGGAACACCCTTATCTCTGCATTCGCGCGTCCCGACTGATCACGCTCCATTTCCTTACAGCCCGCCAGACCCGCACCAGGACTCAGGTCAGCTGGTGAACCGTGACGTCACCACTAGCCTGGCATTGATTGGCGGCCTGCCCTGGAGGGGTCTGCAGCAGGTGCGCGTGCACTGGCTGCTCGACCTGATCAAAGCCGGGTGAGGAGCGAAGTGAAGCCTTCAGATGGAGCCCCGTCTGACGACAGTTGTCTGATGAGGTGGTAAGGGCAAACCAAGCAGCCCAGCACGACTGTATCATTCCACTTCTACGCAGGAACGCAACCAGATTCTTGGTTAGTGGATGGGGGCAAAGACGTCATCGGAAAAGTCGTCTTGGTAACCTCCTCCACTGTCTGCCCAAATGTCACCAGATTTTCTCATTTCGTTTGAAGGGGCCGTGTTCAATTTGTTTTTATTTTGCAGCCTCTAATGAATCAAAAGTCAAAGGCCAACAGAAGATGTAACTGTGCTTGCATGTAAAGGGAACACTCCATCTACATCTGAAGAAATTGAAACAAGTATCAAACATAATGAATCAAGCTCACTTAAAACTGTCGGTATACTTTTTAATGAAAGTGATTGCTTCACACAACACAATTTCTCAGCCAAGTACATATGTGCCTCAATAGGTCACTGCTTGATAGCGTCATCGCTATTGCGTCATTACAGCAGATATGAAGCGGTCGACAATCACATTTTTCCTGGCTTTGATCGCCGCATGGCCAACGGAATAGCAAGTTTTGAATGACGTCATTATGGCGGCATGGATGTTTGGGTGACCTTCAAACGGTCTGCACATCTTCGTGGGCATATGTCTCAAAAACTAGAGGAGCTTAGGTCTGGGACAGGGCTGTGAACGTCACGGAATGATTTTCATGGTGGCTAGTTCAGTTTAAAAAACATGCAAATGTGGAACACTCCCCAAAACGTCAATAAAATGAAGGAATCAGACATTAAAAGGCTGCTCCTAAAGACCATCCGCATAATACATTCTTAACGAGTTAATTTTTCGTTCCCCAAGGCCGCACAGTTAGGGGTGTTGCTCGATTTATTTCGAGATTCTGGAGATATTGAGCGCTCACTAAGCCGGAAACCATCGTAGACATAAGCGTGCTAAAAAATTGCATTGATGCCGCCAGTTTATGCTGGCCAATGGGTTTTCGTTTCAGTTTTCAGTCAACGAACGCAACAACGCAACTAGTTTTGAGCAGCGCTCCAGCAACCTCTTTTAGGAGCAGCGGCAACAACGCCCGGCGTTGCATCCTCCATAGGCCGCGCGGCGATGCTCGCCAGCTGACATTGTATGGCGGCCAATGGGTGCTCGAAAACAGCCATGCGTCGGAGACTGTTGCGTTCGAATGCTTCATAAGATCATACGGTATATGTTGCAGGCATTCCGGGCCATAGATTTTATTTATGCAAGTTCTAAACAAATACTTTGAACAGACTAGCATTTCGTTATTCTATTGTAGCACAGCGAACTTTCGGTGCAGTGGCTGAATTCATGCTTGATGTTGATGTGACTGATTCTCCGTTCAGGGGATCCAGTTTAAAATTTCAAACTTGATATACGCGCCCCAGTTTATCCTTTTAACCCTACGAATTAAAACCGTGAAGGCTTTCGTAACTTTATTGCAACATTATTTCCGGAGGCATGGTAATTCATGTGCGACCGTCTCCAGTCTCCTGGTGTTGGCTGCGGCGGCCAATGCCGCCGATTCGACGGAGATTGGGGCGCTACCGATTTTTTCCCCCGAAGAGTGGGTGCGCATTCGGGTGCGCATGCTCATAAATATCATATATAATATAGTATGCCCCCATAAGTTTTTCACGCATATTCAACAGCCGTGATTTTTCACGACTGAGCATGCAACAGGATGAACACTCAGGTAAACATATGGTGGTGAAAATACATACTTTTGATCTTGTTCCAATCCACAACAGTTGATACTAAGGAGGCTGCTTATCCTGGGCAGGGAACCCCAGAAGAATACCAGAAGGGTATATTGCATTTCCCAGTCAGGGGCTAGGCAACCGTAATGTCCCAGCCCACGATACTTACCAACTGATATTTTGGTTACACATGGGCCGTGGGCCTCTGGTCGATACTGGGAGCAAAAGGTCGATACAGAGCCCTGGGAGGGATAAATCGTACATCAGTCCCATCCTTGGCGCGAGAGGCCGGACGACCGTCACAATTTTCCCAGATCGTCACAGGGACCGTCACTGACGCAAATAGAACCTTTGCCCGCACAGGGGGTTCAGTAATTACCAGAGACCCCATTTTGGTCTATCGGGCCCTAGACCCGAACGGAGTGGAGGACCTCCTTTCGGCACTTAGGCCACAGGCTGACACAGGGCCATTCCATCAACCCACTATGAACCATCTCATCGTCATTCATCACGTCTACTATCATATGGTCCTATCCAACGGAAGAGGCCCTCTGACATTCGGGGTCCCGTTCATGTCCTTGTTCGGAAATGTGGCCCATGCTATCTCGGGGACTCTCGTCGATACCGAATCGCATTTTAGGTATGTAAATGACAATTGCTGTTCCCAGCCCCACCCGCGTCTGGGAAATGAGCCCCGAGGCCCAGACCTGCTCGGAGATCACCTTTCGATGTTGGTGGTCCCTGGCAGACATGAGACCTGCACTGACCCAGGGTCCCCGATCGACTTAGGAAACCCTCTGACTAACGTTTGAGGGCCCGGTCCTGTGAGGCTGGTCAATTAAAATTAAATCCGACGGTACCTTACATCTGTCTGTTAAGAAGATGAGCGGAAGGAAACCACAACAGGCGTCGCAGGTCCTGGTTTCAAAACAGAAAAGCTGGAAGCCCATTTCGGGTGATGAGATATTTTACTTTTCCCTATATCTTCTCAGCAGTACAGAAATTGAACACATGATACCAGAGGCGCTGCAAACTGCACCGAAATGGTTGACATTACGTCGGCTGGCGTGCTTCACATGGTACAATGTGATTTAGCACAACTGAAATTTATCCTTGCGCGCCCAAAGTATATAAACACGGTCTACCATATATATATATATATATATATATATATATATATATATATATATATATATATATATATATCAATAAACACGGTCTACCCAGCTTGTAGGTTTTACCGCTCTGCACCCGGCCTGGGGTGGCCACACCCAAGTGCGGTGTTCCACCCGTGGCTGTTTGGCTGGCACGGCCAGGCTGTCCGGTGCCAGTCCCGTGTCGTTTGCAGTGACTGGCATTGCCCAGCTCCCTCGCTCCCCCATGAACGGACTACCGAGCTCGGAAACACGGTTTCCGGCCGGTCTGGGGCGAAAACAGAGCGGAAGCGTCCTGACATCATTGTTGCGCCAATCGCGGCCTGTGACGTGGCTGGGAGCCGTGTCCCTGGAAGGCGCTGCCCTGTCTTCGAAACTCTTGTTGAGTAATATCGCTGAGGGAGCAGCCACGTGCACCTTGGATTTTGGTGTTCGTTCAGCCGTCGCATATCTTGGTGGGAAAATAGAAACGCTGGAAGGGCATTTAGCAGCTCAATTATTTTCATTTTACGGCTGATGTGTTTGGAGCAGCGTAACAGACAGGAGTTTTCACAGCTGCCGTCGTCTTGCTTGGTGGGAAACCAGTAAGTATATGGTGCATGTTTACGAGTATGGATATCCTTGCACCGTCATTATGTATTTTACGAGCGCTCTAAATTATTTCATCGAGTTGGTTAACCTAATCCGACTTTGTATGCAATGTTACGAAGTCGTTGGTGATGCGCTGTGCGCAATATAACAAACAAAACATTTCGATTCTTCGTCAGGAATGGCGTTGGCGGTAATCAATACAACTTCACGTTTATGGACGCCTTTTTGGATTCATTGGTACAAAATGGCCTACAACCGGGCTTTGAGCTTATGGGCAACCCTGCCAACGAGTTCTCCGACTTCCTAGACGAAGGCCAGGTGGTGAAGTGGACATCTCTCATCCAAACAATAGCCAACAGATACATAGGTCAGAATCGTGCCTAACCGTCCAGAATCGTCACCCAGAGATAGTGGCAGCATGTGCCACAATCTCTGCCTGTGGACTTGTGTCATCTGGTAAAGACATGAATGACGCAAGGCGTCCCGAAGCAAATTTTGATTTTAAGCACATATTTACTCGTTGCAGATCCGCAACTCTTCAAATCAAGTCTGAGGGGCACTGCAGCATTCGTGCTCCCTCTGCATCTACCCCGTGTATCTGACCTCTGCTCTGACCCTGTGTATCTGACCTCTGCTCTGACCCTGTGTGTCCGACCTCCGTCCTGACCCTGTGTGTCTGACCTCCGCTCTGACCCTGTGTGTCTGACCTCTGCTCTGACCCTGTGTGTCCGACCTCCGTCCTGACCCTGTGTGTCTGACCTCCGCTCTGACCCTGTGTGTCTGACCTCTGCTCTGACCCTGTGTGTCCGACCTCCGTCCTGACCCTGTGTGTCTGACCTCCGCTCTGACCCTGTGTGTCTGACCTCTGCTCTGACCCTGTGTGTCTGACCTCTGCTCTGACCCTGCGTGTCTGACCTCTGCTCTGACCCTGTGTGCCTGACCTCTGCTCTGACCCTGTGTGTCTGACCTCTGCTCTGACCCTGTGTGTCTGACCTCTGTTCTGACCCTGTGCATCTGACCTCTGTTCTGACCCTGTGCATCTGACCTCTGCTCTGACCCTGTGTGTCTGACCTCTGTTCTGACCCTGTGTGTCTGACCTCTGTTCTGACCCTGTGCATCTGACCTCTGCTCTGACGGCACCGTAAGCCGTGACCGGGCCCTATGCCGCCGGCAGCGCGCTACGGCGCCGAGGAGGTGCGCTCCTGGAACTTCGAGACCTGGAACGAGCCAGACCACCACGACTTTGACGGACTGAACATCACCGAAACAGGTGAGAGCCGCAGCAGCGGAACATCACTGTGACAGGTGAGAGCCACAACAACGGAACATCACTGCGCCAGGTGAGAGCCACAACAACGGAACATCACCGTGACACGTGAGAGCCGCCACGGCGGAAATCGCCGCGACAGGTGGGAGCCGCGGCAGTTGGCGGTTACAGATGCAGCGTGCGTTGTTCCGTTTTCGCCGCGCGCACGTGGTCATGGAAAACTCGTTGCTCCTTCAGCACTAACAATTTATTCACCGTTGGAGGCCGTGAATACGGGTGTTGCACATTGCTGGTGTCCCACGCATATTGCTTATCCTCACCTCCATCTACGTTTTAGCATCGGAGCTCGTGTTCCTTGAACTTCACACTCAGGTCAACTGTCCATTCTAGGCTTGTCGGTTCGTTGAGATACGGACGCCGCCGTGGTATCCCAAATTCGGCTTCTGTGCACCAGGTTGTCAGTACCTTAGTACGTACCATTCATAGCATTTTAGCCAGATCGCACCATTTTGTTGATACCAATGCTATGCTGCTAATCCCAAGTAACTACACACCTATCATGAATCCGCAGCAATTTCAAACGCACCACGAAAGGTCGTGACACATCGCCACCAGTCGCCGTGTCATGTGCCGACGCTGAGTACGACGCCGATGCTCCGTCCGCCCTCCGCCCGACCCATTCCGGACCTTACATCTTGCCCGGCGCTGTCGGCAGGCTACCTACGCTACTTCGCCGCCAGCCGCGCTGGTCTGCAGGCCGCCGACCCGTCCCTGCGGCTCGGTGGGCCGGGCGGCTCGTGCCGCGCGCCACGTTTCGTCGCCCTCTGCTGGGCGCTGCTCGGCCGCGCTCTGGCGGCTGGAGAGCTCGACTTTGTCTCGTTTCACCGCAAGGGCGCGCAGGAGGTGCGCTCCATCTTGTTGTCTGAGCTCGTCACGCTGCAGAAGATGCGAGCACACTTTCCGCGCATGAGCGGAGTGCCCGTCTTCAATGAGTGAGTGGTCTGGCTCGCACTAGCATCTCGCCAGCCAGTCTCGAACATGGTCTGCCGCAGAGGAGCCTTTAGAAATCACTTCCACGGTGTGCAGTCATTGATATCGCCGATTTGATTATCGTGGGCGCAGCGATCTGCCGTGGAATTCGGTACGTGCGCACAAGGCAAAAGTGACGTCATGGCCAATGGTCGAGGAATGCAAAATTGAAGCAGAAAGCCATGCATCGTGTTCTCACCACGTAAGCTGCAACATTTCTGACCGCGTACATGAGGAGGATATCGTGCTAGGAGGTTGGCTTGAAAAATACCTAATACCATCAGAAACACTGAGTTTCGACGCCACGGTCCTCTCCAGTATCTTAGCGTTACTGAAACACCTGGTGTTGATCCAACGTCCGTGGCGTGCAAAAGTCGTCCTCTTTAGCGTGCTGACGTGACTACCACCCTAGCGTGTTCGCGTTGTGACCATCAACTCTAGCGTGTTGGCGTAATGACTACCGCTCTAGTGTGTGTCCTCTCTGATGTATTCAGATCGCTGCCAGCTCAACAAAGTCCTCAAACCGCTGTCACTCATGGCTTGCTGACCTGATTGTCTTCTGATGTGGTGACGTCACTGATGCTTCGGCAGCGAGTCGGACCCAGAGAAGGGCTGGTGGAGGCCCAGACGCTGGCGAGCTGACGTCACGTACGCGGCCATGATCGCGTCCAACGTCATCATCCACCAGCGGTGGAAGCAAGCCACCGGCGATAAATACGGTTACAGCCTACTCAGTAACGACAATGCCTTCCTCAACTATCATCCCCACTACTTCCAGCAGCGAACCCTGTTCGCCAGGTGATGCTCAGCAAAAGGAGCGGGGAGTCAATCCCATCTCCGTTCTGTGAGATTAACAAAACTACAATGAAGCGGACGCAATCTGAGACAAGGATGGATACAACATCAATTTGGCAATTTGACGTGGTGAACGTCGCTTGCATTACACACACACACACATATATATATATTATATATATATATATATATATATATATATATATATATATATATATAACTGTAGCCTGGCTGCCCACAGTTTATTTCCTCGACATCTCAACAACGCTGTCGTTCTCCCTTTACATAAGCTGTTATGGCTGGAAAGAAATCTCTGGAGACAGAAGCAGAGATTGTCTGCATGGTGCGTGCGCTGCCAGTTTTGTTGCCAGCAAGCTCGTTGCCTATAATGCTCATGTGACCGGGGATCCAGAAGAGCGCAATCATTTTACCTGCGCAATCAAGGTTCGCGAGGTGCGTTAACCTCTATAAGAGGGGGACATCGCAGATAAAAGGCTCTTTTGCCGCCAATGGCTGCTGAGTGACTAAGCGACGGATAATAAAAAAGTGCTGTTAAGCGTCACCAAACGCCATTAAGGAGAGGACGTTGATAAATGAACTCATTTGCTGCCTTCCAAACCACTCAGCCTATCACCCTTAGGAGATGACAACAAATACCCAGCGCAGATCAAAATGATATTCTTATTCGCATATAAAATGTTTTGAAACGCCAGTGACGGACTTAGGAATATGCAGAAAGTGTTTAAAGCACAGCGTAGTGGGTTTTTATTATTTCATTGTCACTAATGTAACACCATGGCGAGTCCGATCTATATCGCAGGCAGGGTTTTAAAACCACATCAGTCAGTTATGCTGCTGGTGCCTGCTAGAGAAATGATAAATAAGAGTGAAGTTTTAACTGTCGTTAAATATTCTATCAAGACATTTTGTACAAGCTTAGTTATCAGAGTAGAAACCTAATGCCCCCCTCCAATGATATATGGCTGTGCCTCAAATATTATTTTTAAGCACGTGCAAAATTATGAACAATCACTTAAAACAAACAGAGAGCATACACAACAAATACAAAACAGAGAGGTATAGCCTTAGAGTCGTTGGTGGCATGCCCTACTCAAACACATATTGATTTACCCTGACGTGAATTACCTATCAATACCGTTTCCTGCAGGCGATTTCCTGTATTGTAGGGAGATTTCATTATACCCGATGGCGTTATATATATATATATATATATATATATATATATATATATATATATATAACTCTCTCTCTCCTCTCTCTCTCTCTCTCTCTCTCTCTCTCTCTCTCTCTCTCTCTCTCTCTCTCCTCTCTCTCTCTTCCTCTCTCTCTCCTCTCTCTCTCTCTCTCTCTCTCTCTCTCTCTCTCTCGCTCTCTCTCTCCTCTCTCTCTCTCTCTCTCTCTCTCTCTCGCTCTCTCCTCTCTCTCTCTCTCTCTCTCTCTCTCTCTCTCTCTCTCTCTCTCTCTCTCTCTCTCTTCTCTCTCTCTCTCTCTCTCTCTCTCTCTCTCTCTCTCTCTCGCTCTCTCTCTCTCTCTCTCTCTCTCTCTCTCTCTCTCTCTCCTCTCTCTCTCTCTCTCTCTCTCCTCTCTCTCTCTCTCTCTCCTCTCTCTCTCTCTCTCTCTCTCTCTCTCTCTCTCTCTCTCTCTCTCTCTCTCTCTCTGTGTGGTGTGTGTGTGTGTGTATACTCAAAATAAATAGAAAATAACCATAACACCCGCGCCTTAAGGAAGTATGTATATGTCAACACCGTAAATTCCATTTTGCCTCAAAGTATCGACGAGCTGCGATGGCGAGCCTTCCGTTTCTGCAAGAGCAATTGACACCAGCTTTTTCATTTCGCATGTCGTTTCACGCCCATACCTATCCACTCCTGTTTTTACTTCAGCTGCCTACGACAATATTCTGCTTTATTTTATCCCATGTGATTTTACACTTGCAACTGTGCGCGCAATTACTGCTTATGTGTCGAGAACGCGCCTCAATTCGGGCCCTGACAGGTTTCAGATGAACCGGACCAGCGACCAACACTCGGAGTTTGTACTGAAGCCGGCTTTCTCCGTGATGGCTCTGCTGTCGCTGGTCGGCAGTCAACAGCTTCAGGAGTCCGTCGGACGTGAGCCCAGGCAAGTAGGAGCTGCTGCAGACCAATGGAAACGGAAATGCCCGACTACTTTAAACCCCAGGCAACCCAGTTTTTTATAATTGCTTTTAGAGGCTACGGTGACAAATGTACATGCTAACACGAAGTTTTACGCTCTGGTGGGCTAAGACCGACACATGCACCATTACCAAGTTGGGCAGTAGCATCGATAAGTGAATATTTTAGTGCTAGGAATCAGGAGTTTCAAACACAAGGGAATGTGGTAAGGATCGCTCTGTCAAGGTGGCCAGAATGAGCACTTTTCAATCAAAAATTCCGGTTTCAATTCTGATTGTATTCGCCAAAGATCCACAACCATATTGACTTTGTACTTGACACGTGAATACAAATAAAACGCTGAGGATAAATCCCCCCGGTATGGCTTTACTATGAAGCACGAAGTGCACACATGGAGATTTCAGTGTCAGTTAAGCAGGATTAGACATTCCAAATCTCCACGTAATGATGGTACATGCGGATCAATATTGGTACGGTTCAGCACAGTGGCCGTCTGACACACAGTCGGCGTCTGCCTGCTTCAGCTCCGGGCTGAAGCTGTGCCAGGCGGTTTGTATTTCGGATGCTGCAGGCGTGTAGCTCGTGAGCCACTGGACCGATGGCTTTGCTGATATGCTCGGGAGCACCAGCTCTGATAGCTCGCTGGATATGCAACATGTTAGCTCATTAGGGTGCCCTAGAACAACGTCTTTTAGGAAAAGCATAGATGCTCGTCATTTTCCAGTTCGAAGCAGGTGGTGTCAGTTTGATCCGAATTCATATGTGGTTAGAGGTGTGAAGCGAGCTGAAATTTTGGTAGTCTTCACCAGCTTTCGCGACTTGGGGACCAGCATGGAGTTATTGAAATGGACATTAACATCGGCTTGGGTGGTTGAAACAAAGCTTTTGGCACTCTCTTACCATGACGGTGCTGCTTTATTTCACCATACATCGAGCAGGTATGTCACTTATCGGAGGATTTTTTGGGTGGGCAGTTGGGCTTAAAAATGAACGTGTTTTAAACTGCGTCGAGGTGGGTGTCAAAAAATACCGTGACAAAGGCGGCTCAATGGTGCGGATATAAATGTGATGTGATCACGCTTAAACTCTAACCCGATCTGACCTCACTTCGACCTTTCCATCTTCGGTTTGACATTGAACAAGAGAAAGGAAAAGAACATATGCATATATTTTACGCCGTTTCACCTCGAAGTGTTCCCGGTGCGCCCTTTAAGTGCTGTCCTTTTACAGGGGGGCTCCTACAGAAGCCATTGCAGCTGATCCTTGTTAGCACCTACAGTGCCTGCGAAAATTTCAATCATTGGCGCACCATTTTCTGGAACATCATACATTTTTGTAGACCGCTTAAAATCACTACAAGTAGCTTAGCCGTCGTTAGCTTAGTTATCGTTAGCTTAGTAGCTTAGCCGTCGTTGGCTTTCCATCAAGCGACCGGATGTAAAGCCAATGGCCATCGATCCATCGATCCATCATAAGCCATCGATCTAAACCAGATTTACAATTATGTGTCCCAGTTGACGAACGGCACAGCATACTCAAAATCATCGCCACTAGCACTGACTATAGCATCGAAGCCATGGACGCGTTCTCATTATCGCTGACACCACCCGAAACCAGACGGATTTTGACCGTTTCCAGGCTCAAATGCAACGGTTGGATCTGGAATTTTCTTAACTAATGATCCAACTTATTCATGTCAACGCTAGCCGAAGGCTAAGCGAGCCAACCGGTGAATGGGAAGCCAGCACCCGTTTCCTCACGCAGTTGAGCGGTCTGTAAACTTTGCATATTATTTACCAGTGTGAGGTGTGTCAATGCTTTATACATTCTTAAACAATATGGTCGGTGACAGGGAACAGCGTCAGTGTTTTCTGCGAGAGATGGAAGCCTACCGGTAGAAAATCAGCACTTTTGACAAGCGTGCACGGAGCGCATCCTCGATTTGTAAATACGTGCAATATGTGAGCTCATAACAACTATTCGATGGCGTAACGATATAATATGAAGGTCTGTTTGGCACACATTCTTCATGCACAAAATGCACATGGCTTGACATTTTCTCTTCTCTTGGTCGGCGTCGCACAGCGGACAGCAAAGTAAAAGTGATGTGAGATGAGATTCGCGAGGGATTAAGGCAGGTCACATCGAATTTTTATTTACGTACCGCCGAACCATATCCACCGCAAGAATTTGGTTGACACTACCCACCCTGACACAATTTATAATGCTTCCATTTTTAAACACTATTGCCCCCTGCAAAAAAATATCGGCCCCTTCGGTCAAGTGACACACATGCCCGGGATATGGTCAAAAACACAAAATCACCACGTGGGCATGCACTAAAGGCTTTGTGCTAAGCGTCCAGGCCGATGCTAGATCTCCTTATGTAATGCCTTGCTCGCCCCTGATGAGCGAAAATGGGCTAAAACCTCCGAACTTAAACCTCCTTGCGCACCCCTCAAACATGCATGAATTTGTACTAAAATGACGTCACTCAACTTGATCTGAACCGGAGAAACAGACAACCTGTCAGCACATATATTTCTCCCAAAAAGGGTCATTCCAGGGCACCCTAACGCTCATTTCAATGCAATTTACGCAATGGCTGCCGCACGTGGGACACTGCATACTCTACCCACGGCGTGAAGGGTATTTATCGTTGAATTAAAACTGGCATATACCCGTGCATTTCTCTGCTTGCCAAGAGAGCACCAGTCCGCGTCAGTCTAATTCACTAATTTCCAAGCGGCTGGCTGGCCGAATTCCTTACAAGACGCAGAACACAGAGGGCTGCACAGACCGCCGTGAACTTCGTTCAGATGATGGGTTCAACCTTCGCGACGGACACAAATAAATCGAAGTCCTTGCGACACTGGTGTTGACAACTACAATAATGGGGAGGCTTTATTCTTTTGGTCACCAGGAGATGCATGCGTCGCCCATCCACGACGGAAACGCAGTGTATGAGATAGTAGGTATTGCATCGATATGAGATATGAGGCTGAGGCTATGATGAGGCTATGGTATCCTATCTCCCGCTGAGAAACAGGGATCTTGTCTCGACCGTCTAGTTAATCCTCATTCCATACATGGTCTGTGAAAATCATCAGTGCACCCTGCACTACCCTACCACTGTCCCCAAAGGAAGCCACAGTGACGTCCCAGCTAACCGATGTGCCACCGCCGTATTTCACAGCACAATGCACCTGCTGCCATCTGTTGGCGACAGCGGGAGGTCGCTGACAACGCTGATCAGCATGGGAGACTCCGCAGCAATTGATGACCGGCTGACCAGTATCCGACTGCACATCAACAATATCACCTGCACGCACAGCAAGTCCTTTTGTTGAATAGCTATCTCCCATACACTCGGTGAAATGCCCGTTTTGAAATTAAACGATCGCTGCTTGTCATCGTGGTGAGGGGATTACCAACCGGCCGGCTTCACAAACCGTGTTGCTTTGACGAAATATCCTTTCCGGTTGCTCCCTCTGAATGGCGTGAGCCAGTCCTTACGGCGGTTGGCACGTGTCACCACGTTCGTAGCGGGAGCTGTCGCCGCCCGCCAAACAATCAGAGCCAAACGATTGGCAATGGCATGCGATCACACGGAGATTCCGCCATTGTCCGCAGGACAGAAGTGGATGTACGCCGTATACGTCATGAGCAATCACCTCACGAATCCATACCGCGCCTGGATACAGCACGGCAGTCCAGTGTACCCGACCTGGAAGCAGCTGCGCGCCATGCGCCAGGTGCAGGTAACTGTGCAAAACCTTGAGAACGGAGAAAGCATTCCAAATGGATGTTCTCCACCGCGTCCTGGTGTGGACCTCGAGAATGCGCGCGTTTGGATGCCAACCCAGCCAAATGTATTCCAGCGATCTTTCAGGTGCTGCAACGGGCAATAGTGCGCAATATTCTGCCCCCGCAGTTTACAAGACAGCTTCTGTATGCATACCGTTAGGAGCTCAGCAAACTTGCAGATATGCATTTGGGTGTACGTCGAAAGCAAAAGGGCTACATCAAATGAGAGGAGTTTTCTTTGTATCAGCGCTCATCACAGAGCGGTCTCTCGATTGGAATTTGCACGTGATCTGTGCTAACCACAGCCATCATCACCGAGCGTCTTCTCGGCAGGGCGTGAGGCGACTGTATGCGCCCCTTCCGCTCACCTCTGGCCAGCTCCTCTTGAGACTGCACCTGCGGCCGCCCGCCGTGGCGCTCGTACACGCATGCGCCGTGACCGGCCAGCCGGGTCGGGTCACCGATCTGCGGACGCTCAACGTCACGCGCGGCGCTGTTCTCCTTGTCTGGGACGACTCCAGGGTCCGCACGAGGTAGGAAGTGGGGTCTGGATGGGGAAGAGTCTGGTTGTGAGATGGCCGGGCCCGGGCAAGGTGAGATTCAAAGTGCAGAGCGGGGCGTGGCGGGAGGTCGCGCCCGGGCGAGCCAGAGTATCATGTCTGGACAAGGCTGACGGCCGCGTCGCGTCGAAGTAGGAGTCCTGTCTGGAGGAGGAAGGGAGCCGGACGCGGGCGCTGTAGGAGACCGTGGCCGGAATGAGGTAGAAGGCCGGGTCACGTGAACTTAGGAAGTTCGGTTCTGGACACTGTAACATGCAGAACGCAGACAAGGCATACGCGTCTCTAGGTGGAGATGGTGAGCCGGCCTCCCGCGCTAGCGTTGTGGATGCGTGACTGACATTCAGGGAGTGCTTGGCTGTACTCTGAAGACTGGTGATCTGAGAGGCAGAACGATAAGGAACGACTGTGCGGAAAGTCCGCTGTGGCTGCGTGACGTCACCTACTGCGGTCGAGACTCTGTACTGACAGGCACCCATTTCGATTGTTTGAGACCTCTATTCCACGGGTGAATCACCCATCCTGGCATGAGCACTGACCACTGATGGGACTGAAATCGCGATCATATAAGTTGGTGGTGAGTCCAAAATCCCACGCACAAGTCCACTGCGAAGTGCATGTTGAGATGTCCCCATGCCTTTTTTGTGACCTCTCCTAATGACCGGTGGACATGACCTCCGGCGCCTTGGCTTCCTTTCTCGGGGATGATCTGCGGAGCCGCGGCAGGCCCCCAGTTGAGTCTCATCTGCTGACCGTCGGCTTCACCCTGCTGGCTGCGCGTTCCTACTGTACGTCCGGCCCGCGCGTCTAGGCCGCGGTCGGGCTTCCTACTACGCACGGAAGTGACGTCGTGGCTGATTGCAGTCAGTTTCCGTGACTCGCCCGCTCTTGACGCGCGAGTCACGGGTGTCCAGTACGAGTCGGTCCGCGCCCTCGAGTAGGTGCGTCTACTGGCTGCGCCCCCGAGACCCCGAGCGCACGCTGAGCCGCCACCATGTTCGACATCTTCGGGTCCGTGAAAAGCCTGATCAAGATCAGCCCAGTCAGCATCGACAACAATGTGTTTCGGCTTCACTACAAGGTGACCAGCGTCATGCTAGTCATCTTCTCACTGCTCGTGACGTCTCACCAGTACATCGGCGACCCCATCGACTGCTACACCACGAGCAAGATCCCTGACAACGTGATGGACACCTACTGCTGGATTCACTCCACCTTTTCCGTGGAGCAGGCGACGCCCCAGTTGCGCGGACACACGCCTTACGTCGGGATCGGCACACGGGGCAAGGACGACACCATCCAGCAGCACGCCTACTACCAGTGGGTCTGCTTCGTGCTCTTCTTCCAGGCGTTGCTTTTCTCTGTGCCGCGATTCTTATGGAAGAGCTGGGAGGGCGGTAAGTGCAAGATGCTGGTGATGGAGCTTGATTGCCCCCTGGTCGCCGATGAGGCGCGTTGCGACCGGAAAAAGCTGCTGGTCGAGTACCTCAGGTACCACATGCACAATCACACCTTTTACGCACTGGCGTTTTACCTCTGCGAGGTGCTGAACTTTGTTAACGTTATCAGCCAGATCTTCTTCATCAACTACTTCCTGGACTTCGAGTTCACAACGTACGGCACCGAGGTGTTGAATTTCGCGCAGTCCAACCCGGAGAATCGCACCGACCCCATGGCCAGAATCTTCCCCAAGGTGACTAAGTGCACGTTCGAGACCTTCGGCTTCTCGGGCACCGTGCAGAGGCACGACGCCCTCTGCGTGTTGCCGCTCAACATCGTCAACGAGAAGGTGTACGTCATTCTGTGGTTCTGGCTGGTGCTGCTGGCGGTCATCAGCGGTCTGGCGCTGATCTATCGGCTGCTGGTGATCATCTCACCCCAGTTGCGCATCCTCTTGCTAAGGTCCCGCGCGCGGCTCGCGCCCGCCGCGCAGGTCACCGCCATCTCGCAGCGCCTCTGGCTCGGCGACTGGTTCGTCCTCTACCAGCTGGGCAAGAACATGGACCCGCTCATCTTCCAAGACGTCCTCGTCGATCTTTCACGTGCTATCGACGTACACGTCTGACCAGAGTGTGGTCGTGGTCCGACCGAGGACCACCCGAGGTCGAACGCATGTGCTCGGGCACGTGTTCCAACCAAGTGTTACGCACGTGGGACGCTTGCGTAAAAGGTGTTTCTGGAAGTGGCTAAACATCGGTGATCGCGGAAACCTGTCAAGAAGGTAGTGTGCAGGGTTAAAATCTTCGATCCCTAAGTCATGGTGCATGCTTGACATATGTCCGGTACCACTTGCATTGCATGAGTGCCTGCTCTGATAGATGCCAAATCGGACTGAGTGGAACTGCATGCGAAAATGCCCAAGGGTCTTGCCTGTTGAAGTAGTCGAGCACGAAGGAGCTGTGAGCGGATCGAGATAAACCAGCTTGTTGACAACACTGAAACAAGTGAGCTCACATGGTGCTGTGCATCTGCGTTGGCGAACATGGACCGCGATCGGTGTGATCCGCGACGTATCGTGATACGTTTTCAGCTCAATGCCGTGAAGTGTGCGTGGTGATATGTCGGCGCCAACAGATCCTCTCAAAAGCTGACCAGGTGCATCACGCTTAGTTTTCTCCTAGCGATTGGTTGGCGATTTGCTTACGGCCGTGCAAGAAACAACACGATTGTTACCTGCGGTAGGATTTCTGCAAAACAATCTTGCGCCAGCATGTAAGAAATAGCAAGGTTCTTTCACTTAATCGTGGCATGTTCATCATTATCGTATAGAAATACATGCAAAAGTGCAGCGCAGTTTTGCATTTGTTGTCTGCACCTGAATGGACCCCGTCGTTCTATGCACTCTTGCACGCCGCCACTCACATCATGGACGATGCCTCTGTTTGTTGATAAGGGACAGCGGAGCACGAACATGTGTGCATTAACGTATAATAAACCTTCTAACGACAGGGCGCTTTGTCAACACACGTCGATGCCATGTTTGATTGCTTCCAGACCTTTTGAACGTGCATGCGACTTTCAGGCAGTCAGAATTCTCGGATCGCAGAGATGTGCTGCTTCAGGCGGCCATCCCCGCGATCCAATGTCATCCCCGCATCCCCGCCGAGCATTGACCTGATGAGACCAGAGTGAAAAGGAGGTAGTCTAAGGAGAAATGTGTAATAGGGACTTTTTTCGTGTCCCAAGCAGTTTTCTTACCCGATTTTTATTGTCATTTTTTATAAATATATTCCGAACGGTGCGCATTCGTAGCGTTGGGCTCAGAATACCTGCTAAACATGGTTCGTTGCGTGCGCGCTTAATCTATCCCCTAAATCGCACCGTCCAGTTCAACGGATAGCTTTGCCTCCACCCTTTCGCCATTCGGTAGTGCGGAGGGGTTTACGCTCCGCACAATGCTGCAACACGGCCGCCCCGAGTCTGGCTTGGCCCCCGTTGGCCATTTGCGACTTGACCGCTCCATTTCAGCAGGGCCAAACGAGTCTCGAGCATCTGCTCCTGGACTCGTGCCCAGTGCTGCTGAATTGCGAGCACAGCATCCTTCCCCTAGAGAACGGAGATGGCAGACATTCTGGTTTCCAGATTTTTATACTATGAAAAAGTGGGTCAGAAACTTGCTCCATTTTGACTCTGCTCAAGAAACCAGTAGGTAGGAGGCTCATATGTACTACGCGTCCTCCATTTGAAATACTGGGAGCTTCTCGACCCCTCCCCACCCTCCATCCCCCGGCAGGTCTTGACGCCAAGTGCTTGCAACTAGCTTTTGAAATGACATGTTGACGATCACACCTGCGAAAAAAAATACTGCGAAAAACTTCACTATTTTAAGAGCACCCAGTTTGCAGAAGACACACATCTCACTGGCAGACCCGTAGCCAGTGCAGTATTATCAGACCAAACTTCCGGGGATGCACCGGTGAATCAACAAAACAGCAGTGTGAGCATGACACATTTTTCGTGTGCTGGGACATATCATTTCCAGCTGAATCAGCAGTGCTTTGAACGATTTTGTAGCGTTCTAAGCAGGCTGCGCCGACTGGACAGGGAAGATACACTATGCTCTAACATCTTATCGCAAATCTGGAGCACACAGGCGTAACAGCGGCATTCGGATTTCTTACGGTTATCCGCTCGCTACATCGTTGTAGGACATTGTGCTTGAGAATAAAACGATGTGTTCAAGGTCTTATAGCATAGATATGTTTCCTGTTCACGATTTGTTGGCTGGTAGATCAGCAAAGATCAAAACATTTGCTGCAGTACAGCAAATTTCGACGTTCGCATTCATCAGGTGTGTTGAGAAGCGAAAGAGAAAAAGATGGGAGAAGGAGGTGACACAACAATTTTATGTTAAGACTACCTGTGCTGGACTCGATTCAGCTCTGTCGAAAACCAATACTGGCAGGAGTGGGACTGGTATGTCTCCTCCTTTTTCTCCGCTCTTCTTTTTTTCTCCGCTCTTCTCTTCACACGCCTGATAATGACGAACGCGGAAAATTCGCGCCCACAACTGCTATTCTTCTCGTCTTGGGTCATCTACCAGTCTACAAGTCTTTAACAGCAAACGAATCAGTACTGTAAGGGCTGAAGGTCATCTATATATTTTCTGGTTGATTCCTTGTTTTATGAATCCTGTATGAAGTGTGCCTAAGAAACACATCAAAGAAATGGCGCGACAAATCAACATACCGGCCAAATGATGACTTGGAAAGATCGTAAAACATTTACTCTTCCCACTACTTCGTCTGAATTACTGCGAGAGCACATTTCTCTGTCGGAATGCATCTTTGCTACTAGCTGATTTATGCACGCTGCATTGCACAGTTGTATGTGCATGTGACTCCATGTTTTTCATGCTTCAGGCAAAATCCGAAGTCGGTAGCTTCAAACTTTGTAAATACGGAACGGAGGCCAAGTCGACAGCTTTGAACTTGGGACGCAAAGCCATCATGAAACACATCGGTTTAAAACCACTGGGTTACAAGCCAAAGCCGAGTCAAATGTAAACAATGATTTTACGAAAATTCAACTATTCTCACACCTCTTAACACTCTATGCGATCGGAAAATACCATTAAGGTTTTACGGCGTGATTGAAAAGAGGTGAGCATTACGTGGAAAGAGCATTATGGATGTAAGCATTGTTTGGACTATTGTCTTCATTTTGTGTTCTAGCATACACACAACGCAGGGCGGAGCCATGGAAATGGCCGGAGGGGAGGGGTCGGCCGAGCCCCTCATTTGGTCCAGATGTTTCGCTTTTCACCACAGAGGGGTTCCGACAAAAATGTAAAAAATGGCGCGATGCGTGCTCACCAGCCTCCGGGCCCGTGTCTTAAAGAGTGTCCCACGTTTGGGGCACATTTCAACAGAATACTTTAGTGAAACCTCCGGACTGGTTACGTCTAGTGAAAGCACTAGATATTGGCGCAGAAGCACCATCAAGGTATAATAAAGATATCAATGTAATGCTTTTTGTGTCCAAATTACGCTCTTAACGCGTTGTAGCAGCACTGTGCTTATTCCCTGCAGTCCTAACCACCGTCTTCATGACAATCACCATGCGCACCTCTACTGGTGTGGATAAAACAACGTCTGGAATTGTCGCAGCGGGTGAGGGCCTATTTCCGAGAAGTTTGGTTGAAGTTTGAGCCAGTATGTCACATGGATCACGTGATACTCCCATTCCAAAAGTCAAAGTGCGCGTCCAAAAAAAAAAAACTTGTAAACGTCAAAGGGGAGAAATTCAACCATGTTATAATGTTTCGTCGAATTCGCTGGGTAAAAACTTTATGCTCACATATTTTTCTGTCTGAACAGTGTTTCAAGCTTTCGCAGCATTTAGCATACGCGCATTTTGACACACTAGCGCGTTGCAATTATTACAGAAAAAGCAAGGCAAACGAAATGCCCCTCTTTCATACTGGTGAGCAGGTAATCAAATGAAATATCTCCTGCAGGGTCGGTTCCTTCAAATCTAAACTCTAAGCCGTTCAAAAAGATTTCTAGAAAACTGGCATCACTGATCAAATCGTAGGCGTTTGATGAAGAAACGAGTGAAAAGTTGAAAAAGGTGGACTACTCCCTTTAAGAAAATCCTGACTGCACCCCAACACAACGTCTTCGACCAGTTAGTTCCCCAGCCGTTGTGAAGTTTCAGTGGGCCTGTGAGAATGCCAACTGGTTTTGGCTTTCAGCCATAGATGTGTCACAGCCTCGAAAACCTGTGTGGGTAGATGTGTTACTGTGACAGGACTCGCACGCTGTTGTTGTGAAGTAAAGTCGCACTGAAAAAACACCGTGATGCGACTATAGACAACAGTTCAAGATCGCATGAAGCCGAACCTGTTCCCATATTTCAAAATTGAAGCCGAAGCCGAGGCCAGCTGTTGCGTGGAAAAAAAACACAAAAAACGTGGCAACACCGAAGGAAGAAGCGAAAATGACAGAGCCCCGAAGTTGAAGACGAAGCCATTGGAGGAAAACTGCTGCTTCACGAAGCCGAAGCGGACTTCGTCCCCATGCCTGCTCTCAGCATAACTAAACATTTCCTGACATCCAAAATGGCATGCTCATGCTGATCAGCACCGGGCGCCCGTGAAGAACGCTGAACATACGTCTGAAGCCTCTTGGCTGCCACCTCTTGAATAACCGCCCGTCGCCATGACAATTCAAAAACTTTTTTGGGCGGAAAGGAAGCCCCAGCACAAAATACCGTATATCCCTTAGAGCGCACCTGCGACAAATAATGCAGGGTTTGAACTCGGAAACAGCCTTGACATGAACCAAGTAGTGATGCAACACGTTTCTGCTACGATTCTCGCAGATCCCAACGCAAGGAAGGCTAAAGAGTTTCATGCAATCTCCCTGAAACTCCTAAACCTTACGCACAGCATTTGCACGGGAGGTCCGGGGTGAGTACCAGATCCTAGGGTATGCATGAGTGCCCAGTGCACCCGTCTGACTACGGGACTGCTTACCAAACAACTAAGCACATCTTCCTGCCATTGCTTGTCACGGGGATTCTCGGCGGCGATGATGGGAAACGTCAAACCAGGCATCCAGCCGACCCAGCCACCAGCCGACCCAGCCCACCTTGTTCCTCCGCACCATGTCCATGCAAAAGACAACGTAACCATATTCGGATTTGACCTCAGAAGGGTCACCGTAAAGTATCCAGACAATGAGGGGTCAAAAGGTGGTCATGCGTAGCTCAATAATGCATCGCGCCCCAATTTGAGGACGGCTGCGCGCCATGATGTCAAGCATTTGCACTTTTGGGGCAACCTGACCTCCCAAGCGGGCTGCATGGCTTTGAGCCTTGCAAGGGGAAAGGACATGGGCACGTATTATGCCATTTCATAACAAATCGATTCTAGATCATGATGCGACTATGTGGTAGCCATAATATCAAAATATACAAATTTTCATTCTGACCTACTGCGGTAATGGGTTGTTTCCAGGTATGTAAGGCTTGCTCTATGCCTCAAAACCAAATCTAACGGCTTTTTCGGTTTAATCAAGCTGTGAAAATGTGAGGTTCTGACTTTGATTGCTCGTAGCCTGTGAACGTTTTCTCGTGTTCCAAAGGCACAAATCACGCTTACTTCAGCCAATAAATGTACTCCAAAGAGTGTTTTTTGGTTTAGGAACATCATGTCAGCGACGGTCAAGCTAGTCAAACTTCGACTTATGCGACAAGATTTAACTTTTGGAAGGTCATAAAGTCTGGGCAAAACAGGGAGTGTTCCACATTTACTTATAATTTTGAACTGAGATAACCATTTTGAAGATCATCAGCGCAGTTTACAGCCCTGTCATTCTTAAGACTTGCTCTGGGTTCTGAGCTAGATGCCAGCGAACTTGTGTATAGTTGTTGCAGACTAGTTCAAGGTCACCGAGGCATGCATGACGGCATAGAGAGGTCACTGTAATACTGCCACCCCATTGGATATGTGGCATTCGAGGCCAAGATGAGCATGATTATCGAGTTATTTGCGCTCGGCGTACGTGAGCACGATTTATGGAACCGACAGGCTTAAATTTACTATCATCCAATGTATTATATATATTATCCAATGTATTATATATCGTTAAGTGCTAGCCTCCAACAAGACTTAAGTTTTGGTGCTTCATAATACAGGCAGTTGGACAGTGGTGCTAGTTTTTACGGAAATAAGACTCATTAATCGAATAGATTTAAAAGGGGCACCATAACGAGCATACAAATGCAAGTAAAATGTAAAGTCATGGGTCAATATTTAAGCGCACCAAAGAGAGCGACAAAACACGTGCACACAACGATATTGGGTTCCGGAAACGCTGCACTCATTATCGCGGCACCTATCAAGAAGCTGAAAGTACTGCAAATTAGTCAGACCCTACAGATGACAATTTCGCACGGTCAGTTAGCTGTCCGTCTGGCGTCATACAAACACTCCATGACGCGATCAAACAGTGACTATTAAGATGCATATCTACTAACAGGTGAAATTTTGCTATTTAGGGTAGTCTCTTGCATTAAAAGCATACCAATGTGAAACAACCATGCGTGTGAGCTTACTTCACTATAACTAATACTGGCTCAGTATCTGCAGATTACAACATTCGCTTAACGTCACAAACTCGTCGCAAAAACAGGATTGTCGCAGCCACTTTATGGACTGTACTTAGGAGTAGATAGATGACCTTGAAGCCCTAATCGTATTGACCTGTTTGCTGATGAAGGCTTGCAATTCTGTTGGATGCGTGTCTGGTTGCAATATGTCTACTTTTCACAGAAAAGCAAAAACGAAGTGGAATACTAGTACTTGTAAGACAATATAAAATGCAAAGTTGTAGACAGTGTGAAGACTGGCGATAGTGTGCAAGCCCTCTGGATAGATGTGATTGTGTCAAACAGCAACAAATCACGCATTGACATCCTTTATAGCCTTCCGAATAGTTGTCAGGATCTGGACACAGCATTGTGTGAAGAAACTGACAGAGGTCGGAATGGAATACGTATGGTGCTGGGTAATTTCAACATCCCAGGCTGGAGCACAGATTTTGACTGATTGTCAAGGAGCCACAAAAATATATTTCCTTGTTTTGAAGAAAATGTTCTTCAGTAGGTGGTGTGCAAGCCCACGAGGGGAGATGAGGATGATAATGAGGACCTTGTTATGAGGAGTTAGTTAAACTAATGGGGAGGGGTTAGTAGATGCTTTGACCGTAGGTGAGACACTGGGAAATAGTGAACACAGTATTGTATGGTTTTCAATGTGTCTGGGTTTTCAGATAAGGCTAATCAAACAAAATAAAGATTAATAAGGCGCCCGGACCTGGCCAGATATACGGTAGAGTGTTGAGTGAATGCGCAAGTACTTTCAGGCTACCCTTTCATGTTGATATTTAATGGATCACTGAGTTTCTCAGAGGTAGCCGAGGACTGCGCGATGTCAATGTAGTACCGATTTTAAGAAGGGGACCAAAAGAAGGAGTCAACAACTAGTGAGCCTGCGAGTCTAACCTCACTAGCTTGTAAGATCCTAGAGAAATTCACTAAGGCTAGCATTCAGTCCCACTTAGAGAGGCATAATTTGATAAATAGTAGTCAGCGTGGTTTTTATCTGGAAGGTCCTGCTTAACAAACCTGCTAGACTTAATGGAGCATGTTACTGGTCAGATAGATAAAGGCAATAGGCTTAGATGTTGTCTACTTAGATATAACGCGCGCCCGAGCGGCCGGCTGGACTACCCTTTGCTCGTGTCGGGGTCAATTTGACCGCCCCCCCTAAAATCCTCAGGAACTAAGAGAGCTAGAGATACCAAATTTAGAGGGTGTGTCGACCCTGTACGTGGAACTCACTTAGGTCAGAATTGAAGATTCATAGGTCATGACCGTCAGGCAAAATAAGGTCAAACAGTTACAACTTCCAGGTTGGTCTCCAGAGGGCCTCTAGAACCTAGATAACTGTCGTAATAAAAAATCACATCCTCATTTAAGGTCAGCGACCTTGTTTGATCTTTTGAAGGTCATGGTGACCAAAATCATACAAGACCGCTTGGATTTCTACATTTGAATAAGCGACTAAGATTACGCTAGGCAGTATGTTCCTAGAAAAATGTTGACCTGGGTCATATAAGGTCAGTGACGTATTGTGACCTTAAAGAAGTACATGGAAGGTGTATAACGCGGTTCCTTTTATCAATAAACTTGAAATGGGCGCCAGAAACTACCTCTTACAGCAAGCCCCAGAGTAATAAAATAGGTTGGTTTTGACCTAGGTCTTACCTTCATACTTGGCCCTAGGTCAATTGAATTTGCTTATTTAATTGCTGTGCTGCCTAAGAAAGTATCTCAGAGATGTATAGCTTCGTCTAACACTCCCTTTTTGGATCAGATTGAGCGATTTCCTAGAAATTGCCTTCGCTGGAAACCATCGTCTGACCTTGGTCCGCCATAGGTCGGTGCCTTACAGGATGATCTAAAAACTCGATGCCAGACGATCCGATATTCAATGTCTCCAGCTCTGCAAAATTTGGCGCGGCTACCCCGCGTCGTTCGGAAACCATTCAAAAAAACTTCTGGGGGGAGTCAAGTTGACCCCCCACAAGAGCACGTGCTAAGTAGGGCATTTGATTATGCGCCACATCAACGTCTGCCATGTCACTTAAAATTGTATGACATCGAATGAAGCATTCTTGGCTGGGTAAGGGTTTGGCTGAAATACTATGTGCTCAACAATACAAAATCTCAAAAGTGGGGACTAGCAGAGAGTGGGATTCCACAGGAGTCGGTGTGGGGCCCTTGCTCTCTTATTATTTTTGTGAATAATATTGAAGACAGGACCGACCCACCTCGATGGGACCTTGCGGCTCTTTTTTGGCCAGATATCTTTACGTCTTCATGTCTTTGTGACAGTCTCTTTGCAGAGTGCAGTGTCAATTTCAACTCAAATGCAATGGACATGTCATACCCAGTGTCAGAAACTCAATCGCTGACATCCCGGTACGCCTGCAGGTGCATTCGAACTTACGAGGTCCAGTTCCGCACCGGTGGCAATCTGACATTCCAGCGTATCAACGAGGCGGACACCATATTCAACCTGTTCCAGTGGTTTCCGGGCATGTCAGGTATGTCTGCGGTCATAGGTGAACAAAACACATGAAGCAACCGTAGCATTTCACAATGCAAGCCACGGGAGCGCTTTTCTCTTCGAGTATCCCGTGTGTGTAAAGTGCAATAGTGCTGAGCTCTAACTAGGCATAAAGGTTTCTGAAGTGCAGACAGCTTTGATGCGTGTTGTCAGGACACAAAGGAAGTGTAATCTTTGCAAAAGCTCCTAGAATCCAGATCCTGCGATTCCAGCGATGGCTATTAAAGCTTGCATAAATTGAGGTGAGTAAAATGCAATCGAATTAGCTCCAACAGCAATATTTACTTGTAATGCAGCTCCCAAACACTACAATACCAGTACGACTGTATTAGAAACTGGATGTTTTATTTGATGTTGTAGCGCGATCTAGTTCGAAAAACTGCTTTCAAGTTAGACGTTCGGGACGCTGAACACCGAGTCGGTAGCAGCAGAAGCTCAAAATCCAACTGACTCCGTCTCTAAGACTATGTTGAAATATTGGCTAGTGTGCGACACATGGATGGCTTGCTGTGTAGCCATTATCCGGACCCCGTCCAGAAATGGCGGCTGCGGCTGTCGTCGGAATGCCATTTCTTTCCTCCTATAAAAAGGTTTTCATGCAGATCTCAAGAGTTCAATTATTCACTCTCTGTTAACAAACACGGACAGATTATGCAGCTATTATTTTGGTGGCGTAGAGCACTTTGTTTAGAAATCAAGTGACGCATGATTCGCGATGCCTGTTTACTTTAAATTGTTTGCATGTATGTATGAGTGATGCCTGATGCGTAATGCCTGCTTACATGAATTCGTTCGCATGTACCGTATTTTTAACATATTCTTAATTCCTGGTTAGATGTGCACTTTGTCGTAGTAATGTCTGGTACTTGTTCATTGTTTTATCCCCCGAGTGTTAGTGACCTGTAATAACTGTCACTCGCTGTTAAAAATTGAAATATCGAATGCGATCATTGGATGTTTTTGAATTCACTGCTCATAATCGCTCAAATCGTCTTAAACGTTTTTGCAAAGGCAAATAGCGTAATGCTTTTATTTATTTTTCATGGTTATTCGACGAGGAATAAGGCCAACAGTACTCTCTTATAAATATGTATAATGTTCCTCGCAAATGACCTAACGACTTACACAATTTAGAAAAAGGTCGCAACACTCCGGGGTCTTAGAGCTCTTATATGCGACATTAGGTGTTCCTTGACACCCGCCCGTGTGGCCGGTTGGATACCCTTGACTCGGGTGGGGGCCATCGATTTGACCCCCATTAGAGATACCAAATTCACAGGATGCCCTGGCCTCTATGTGAACTCACTTAGTTCCAAGCTTTAGGTTCCTAGGTCATGACCTTCGGGTCATATAAGGTCAAACAAAATCAAACCCCAGGCTGGTTTCCAAAGTGCCCCAGAACCTAGATATCTGCTCTAAGCAAAAAGTCACACGTTCGTTTAAAGTCACTGACCTTGTTTCTACTTTCAAAGGTCATGGTGACCAGCATCACACGAGACTGCTCTGAGGTTTGCATTTGAATGAGCGTCAAAGATTGCGCTAGGCAGTGTGTTCCTAAAAACAAAATGTTGATCTGAGTCATTTTTTGTCAGTGACATATTCTGACCTTTAAGAAGTCATTGGAAGATGTATAATGTGGCTTCTGGCTAATGTGGCTTCTGGCTCCAATTTACACTACCTCCAATGAATTCGAAGTGAGCACCAGGAACTTCCTTGTACAGCAAGGCCTAGAGAAATAAAACACGCTGATTTTGACTTTGACCTTTATATATGACTCCAGATCAATTTTTATTTACTTGTTATGTTGCCTAATAAAGTATCTCAGCGATGTATGGCTTCGTCTAACACCCCGTTGTTCCATCATATTAAACGATTCCCTAGAAATCGACTTCGCTGAATGCATGGCCTGACATTCACCTGCCGTAGGTAAGCGATCTTGTAAGATAATCTAAATATTTAAGGCCAACTGATCCGCTATTCAATTGTCCACAGCTCTGCAAAATGTGGCTCGGCTACCGCCACGCCTTTCTGAGATCCTTCCGGAAAAACCTTCGGGGGGGGGGGGGGTCAAATTGGCCCACCCACCTGAACACGCGTTGAACGCGCACACGATTTGAACGTTTGAACCGAATGCGTTTATTCAGCCCTCGTTCACTTACTTGTTGTGTCGAAAAGGGTAACCCACACTGACGATCGAATGCATTGCTTGTGCCCAATGCTTTGAGAAGTGTCGGAGAAACCACAGACGTCGAATAAAGAAAATTTGCAACCGGTATGATAAGAGGGCCAGGAAATGTCATGAATGATGTTGAATGCATCTGGAAATAGTGCAAGCACGGATCGCCCATGGAACACAACTGGTATGGCAACATAGCGCTCCCAATGGCTTTAGGGGTGTGTTTTGGAGTCACTGCACAATCTTCGTAAGTAAAGCGTGCGCCATTTACATGAAAATGCTTCAAATGATGTTTTTGAATAGTATCTCTTGCTACTTTGGTATGCTTTATCACCTTCGACGCACGCCTACCTGGTGCAAAATCAGTAAGCAGCACGACAGCATTTACCTCAGGCTCCAATTTACACTACCTCCACGGGTTTAAGATTGCTCACTAAAACACATAAAACGGAGTTCTTCAGGCATTTGCAACAACCACCTCCCAACACGCACACACGCGTTTAAAGAGGGCGGGGAAGCGGTGGCCGGTCGCCAACCAATTTCCATCAAGGTCGCAGGCGACTTGCTCCATGTTCCTACACGAAAAGCTGGCTTAACATAAAGTTTGCTCCCCATAATCTCTTACGTCTTTGTTGTTGATTGGTGTTTTCGGGCGCGCCCACTGCAGTGGTCATTTGGCGTCCACTTGGCGGGAAATTGGTAACCAGCACATCACACCCGGTTCTCGTCAGGGGTCCCGGTTTAGGAATCGAAAACGGGATCGGTCAGGAAATCCCATGAATGATGATGAATGCATCTAGAAATAGTGCAAGCACAGATCGCCCATAGAACGCAACAGGTCAGCACGTGTTTTTTTTTTAAAGTTAGCTCCGTCGCTCAGCGAAACAAGCCCACAAGCACTTCTAACGACCAGTTTTAGTCCTATAACGTAATTTGCGGAAGTTGAAGAACAAGCCAGCAGTAATAAAGCGTCAACTTGCGTCCTAACATGTCGGGTACGCTATTCGCTTACAACGGATCTAGATACGCAATTATTTCAGTAAAGTGCGCACCCTCTCCCTATATGTAACAGTATCGGGTTGTCTGTGCTGAAGGAGAGGGTAATGAATTCCCGGTGGAACTAATCATTCCTAGGACAGGCAGTTTCCCGAAAGTGTATTTTCTGCTGTGTTGTGGTGTACAGAAATCCAATTCCGAAATGCGTACTGTCTCAGGCTTCCCTTCTGCGCCATACATCAATAGTAGTGATGCTGAACCATGAACATGCAGCAGCACAGTTCCGCGATCAGTTCGCAGAAAGTCATGTCGGGACAGCCGATACGGGGCAGCGGCTGGGGATGGCAAGTGGTAGCAGAACTTAGGCAAGGAATATCTGAAAGAAGAGCCTTCATTCCATGACTCGATTTTTACAGATGAAATCCGCTTTTACAGTTATTGTCACCTTGTTTTGACAGGAAGTATTTTAAGTTCCAGAGTTTGGTGCTGGCTAAAATGTTGCGACCACACCATAACTATTGTAAAGCAGTCGGCGAAGTCCAGGTTCATGAAAAATTTAGCGCACTATATGCTATAGATTCGAATCCAAAATTTTGACCAGCCTCTGCCCAAGCCAGCACTTTGGCACATAAATTGCAACTGCACCAAATAGTCTGCACAAGTTCGTGGGCGTCAAGTTCGGGATCCAGAGGGTTATAGGTCTTAAGAGAGCTGGGCTACGGATCTACGCTTAAGAGAGTGAACTACGCTAGATGATCTTTAACATGGCTATCTCAGTTCCGGAACGCATGCAAGCGTGGAAGACATCCATGACGCCATAATAACGCCGTTCAAAATATAGTATTGCATTTGCCCTGCGGTGAGCAAGGTCAATGAAAATGAAAATATTGATTCGTTCATGTTTGCCGTTCTTGAGCACGATTTCCAGACAAAATGGCCGTCATTAAACTCAATGTTATGCAAGGTATGATGGCGTAACTAAACAATGACGAGAAATATATTTATCAACAGAGAAGTTTTTTCTACAGAACTAGCATTTTCCACTGGGAAAGTATATCAATAGTTATAAGTGAGCTTGTTTCATCACATCTGATGCTTGCTTCAAAATCTTCAATTGTAGGGCATTCCCTTTAAAGGGAATATTCCGCCAAAGTTCAAAAGGCAATGCTCCACATTTGAAGATATGGAAGTAAGCATCAGATATGATAAAGAAAGCTCACGTTTAAATGTAGGTGTACTTTAAAGTGGATAAAATTGCTCTAAATGATATATTTACCGGCTTTAGTAAATATGCGTCTCCCGTAAGTCACGATTTGATTGCGTCATCGTACCTTGCACAACATTGAGTGGCAGTTGACGGCCGTTATATTTGGAGATTTTGCTTACGAATACCAGATATGGGCGTCTAGAAAATTGCATTTTTCTAGGCTTTGCTCGTCGCATGGTTAATGGAATGTCAAAATTTTAATGAATTTATTATGGCGTCATGGATGTCTGGCTGACCTCGAGATAGCCTCCCCGATATAGTCTGCACATCTTTGCGGGCGTGTAGCTCAGGAACTAGAAGAGCGGCGGGGCTGTGAACGGCACCGAATAATTCATAAGGTGGCTATTTCAGTTGAAAACTCCATGCAAACGTGAAACACACGCTTTAAGGGAAGATGGAGCGAGGAGCGTCGGGTAGTTGTACCTTATACGGCAATGGCATGCGCCTTTGTCCCAAAACCCAGTTTCAAGCAACTGTGCTTTGCTACATGAAGTACAATCTATAATCGCATTGCATGTGTATAATAAACGCACCAAGCCTGTTTGCATTTGGCTGGGATGACTTTGTGGGAAAGCACTTGGCTACCATATATAGTTCAGGAAGCACAAACCTTCCGATATTTCAAGGGGGTTTGTTTTCAATCAGTGAAGCTTGGCCATGTCAATGGCGCTTTCGTTTGGGAGATACGTTGCTGGTGCAGCTTCAGATCATTTTCAAGCTCACTGGGGACGACCCCAGGTGCATGAGAGCGGAAGGTGTCACCTTGACAGTACGCGGATTATAAGCGACGACGTTCTGCCTCCTGCAACAAAACAAAAACGCACGTGCTCGAGCCGAGGATGACTCAGTGTGCCTATTGCAGATGGCAAGGCCTCGGTGAGAGGGTCGTACCGGGTGAGAGCTGTGGATTACGCTGGCACTCCGGGGCCGTTCTCATCGGTCGTCGTCTACTGAGCTGCATGGCCGAACAACGGATGTACCCGGAGCATGGACTGCTAGTCTTAGACTGGTGAAAGCAGTGGCCAAGGTAGAGGCGGAGCAGCGTGCAGATCAGCAAAAAGCAATACATCAATAGAGCCGAATATGTCGCGTGCCAGACGCAAGGCTCGCTCTGGGAAAAGGGCGGAGGGAAAATTATTTGTTGCACTGGACGACATGTGGCGGGCTCAAGGTAAGCGCAACAATCTGTGTTAAGTGGGTGCCCCACCAGCCCAGTCACCTATGAAAACCACGTAAATACATTTCTAATAATATCCGTGGGAAGTTCAGGAGGCACTGTGAAAAAGTCATGAGTGTTTTTGTAGATAACAAGATAATCAAGTCAGATGAAGGTGGGCTCTCTGAAGTGCGAGGGGGCGGGGACGGGGCTCGTTTGTTTCAATACGCGGCCACTGTTAATGCCGTTTTCTAGGGAGCGAAAGATGCTGACCCTACCTGCCAGATCCATTGGCTCGAGAACGAAGTCGCGTTAGGTCTTTACTACTGCAGGGGCGAATGCACACGGTGCTTGGCAAGCACGGAACGCGCTGAGATTCGAAATCGACGGAAGACATTACCACTGTTTTTTACATGTAGGGTGCTATGGACGATGATCAACGACCTGAAAGCGATCGCCACGAACGTTCCCAGCTACGGAGGCAGTTTTCATACGTCAGTGGTTGAAGGCGAGTAAATGAAAGCCAACAACCAGTACTCTCGCTAGTCGCCGCATAATCTGCGGAGCGGGGAGTGCTGAGTACCAGGACTGAGCGCTAGTGCCCTGGCCACTCTATCGGTCAGTTCTGTGCGCGCCCAATGGCTGCGCAGACACGCAACAGCACGTGACCGCCAGGGCGGTGGGGCCTCTGTTCAGACCCGCGGCGGAAGTGCGACGGTCTCTCAGCAGCACCAGGGCGGTGGGGCCTCTGTTCAGACCCGCAGTGGAAGTGCGACGGTCTCTCAGCAATACCAGGGCGGTAAGGCCTCTGTTCAGACCCGCGGCAGAAGTGCGACGGTCTCTCAGCAGCACCAGGGCGGTAGGGCCTCTGTTCAGACCCGCGGCGGAAGTGCGACGCTCTCTCAGCAGGAAGTCCATAAATAACTCAGTCACTGGATGAGAGCCAGCGCGACCGTCAAAGCCAAGGTGCAGACATAAAAGAGCACTGTATCGTCGTACGAGTCCGTTGTGAGCCGCACATGCGCCTAAAGAGCACACGACTATGATCCGTCGGGTGTATTTAGCACGCCATGCTCTAGTAAAAGGTCTACAAAACGACGGTCGTACTCAGGTACAAGCTAACGTCCCACAGCGCCTGAGGACGTGCGGCTAGACACGTGCACTAGCGTAAGAGGGCAATACGAATGACACGTCTAGCACGTGTTTGAGTCGCGCAGCAGCCGCGTGACCCCAGCACCAGCACCTGCCTTCGCAACTGCGCACAACCAGCGCCGATCTGAGACGGCCTGTGACCAGGTCTGACGATCCGTCCCTGCCCTGTCACTGGCGCCCCTGTGGTTTGGACGGGCTGGTCCAAAACACGTGCGACCTCCGCCGCCTATTCGTGCCCGGCAGCCGGACGCCGGCCGGGGTCGAGGAAGGCGCGCAGCGTCAGCTGGCGCTTCCCGTCCGGCTGTGACGTCACAGGCGCGGGCCGACGCCTGGCCGGCCGCGACGCCGCTTCCGCGTCGAACAGCTTCAGAATCTGGCCGGTGAAGCAGAGGCGGGTCACAGCGAAGGCGAAGCAGTGGTCGGCACCGACGTCAGCTGGACGCGCTGGGCCGTGAGAAGAGCGTGCCCAGCTCAGTTCAGAGGCTGGACTTCAGACTCATCAGACACGCTTCATTGCAAAGCGTCCATACTCGCACCGTGTGAGCTAGTCATAAATATCACGAAGTTATTGAAGGAAGTCGAGTTAAATTCTTACTTAGCCCATCACAGGAGATAATTCTATCTGAATTACTGGAGCAACCGTATCAGTAACTGAATAAATGCGTCTGGCCTGTCAAAAATCACTTAAGGTAAACAATTCACAGGCCACATGCTCACCAGAATTGGAACGTACGATATGAACGTACGGTGTTTGCCTCTCATCCCCCCTATGGGCGGCGATCCCGTATAGAGCCTTCAATAACAAGGGCCGATACTTCGGCAAATTGGTACACAACACCAGGTCTTCGGAGAAAAAATACAAAACAATTTTTGGGCAAACCATGTTCGTAACCTAAACACAGTAGGTTTCATAAATCCAACTAACGCCACGCGTGGTGGAACACTGCTTTTGTGATTTTAAAGCTCTCCTTGAATGCAGCTTTTCCAGAAGCACCTGATGAACTGCCTGTCCTGCTGCCTGATATGCAGCTATGGCTTGAGGAGCAGCGTTTCAGGCCTGCCGTGACCATCGCGTACGCGCGCCCGTCTCAGCTGCCGCGGCTGCGCACCTTGCGGACGGGGGTGGGGATACCGGCCTGCAGCAGCTCCTCACGCGTCACCCAACGGGCTGCGCTGTAGCCGGCCGGCACCGGCGGCTGCTGCTCGTCCTGCGCGGTCGCCGCCGACGCCGCCTGCGCGCGCCCGGTACGTCCGTCGGATGTGACTGAACACGTGCACTATGTCGCCGAGAGGTGGGAGCGGCGCCGGCGGCGGCAGCGCCAGCTGACCGGGCAGCAGCGTGCGCAGGGCAGCGTCCACCTCGTCGTCAGAGAGCTCCAGCGACGGCAGCACCACGCCCGGGAATTCCCAGAGCGAAGCCAACAGACCTGTCGCAGGCAACGACCCGGCCTAAGGTCATGTGTTGGATGCCAGGTCATTTCGGGTCACTGTAGACGGTTATGCGGTCTGCCCAAATGTCACTCGACGACAGACTTATTACAGGGCCATCATTTGGGGTACATCCTTAGTTCTTCAAAACTTCGTCAACTCGTTCTAAAAAGTAAAAAAGGTATAAAAAGACTACATGACATGGATTTAGTTCGGCCTCGAAGTTCGAGGCATGACAAGAACCTGCTAAACGTGCATCACCCAACTGGATCATCCCCAATTAGTTGTTCGAGGTCTTCACCGGAGGGCAGAATCCGGGGTAACAGCGGAACCCGTTCGCTCAGCGTTCCTTCGTATTAGCATGATGTTTCTAGAGCCTGCGTCCACGTTAGTTGAGTGCTGTGGTCGTATATTTGTATATTAGAGAATGCAGGACGAATTTCGTAGGGAGTGGGCTGCTTCTGCGTGCGTGGATACTGTTGGGGTGTCGGCTGGTGCGCCGTGACAATCAGCTTGTTTCCTGTTATTATGTATGTGCTTTGTTCATGATCAGACGACGCATTCCGACAGCTTATGCTTGTCCTCAATACATCATGTAGTTTTATGAATGCAAACTCATTATGAATGCAGGAGCATGCCAATGCGCGTCCGCAGCGCCCTCACCCGTGTCGGGCCGGCGCGCCAGGAGAAAGCGGCGGCGCTCGTGGTGCACCACGCAGACGGCCGTGTGCTCAACGCGCGGCGCCACCTTGCGGGTCTTGCGCGGGAAGTTGAGCACGCCCGCGCCGCCCTCCCAGAGTCCGGGCGGCAGGCAGAGCGGGCAGCCG